CAACTATTCGAACTCCGGAGTAGGCATGTGGTATCACGCTAAATTGAAGGAAAATCCTAGTTCCTCGCCTTCCGCAAGTGACAGACGTTCATGAATAAAATGCTCGCATCGGTCTAAAAAAGCGTATTTTCAACGACTTTAAGGTGAAAAATGTGTGCTTTTTTAAGGCCTTAATCAATTGCTGGAAAAATTGTGTATATGTCACGATATCAAAGTGACCAATGAGTAATTTATAATAATTTTATGAAGCTGTCGGAAAAATCGCGTGAATGCTGCGATATTGACAGTTAATAGCAGGTAAATTCTCATCTTTCCTCTTCAAAATCGCTGGAAAAATCGCGCATTATCCGCAACACCAAAGTGATAATCGCGTAATTTCATAAGATTCACGAATCCGCTTGAAATATCGCTTAAATAGTTTTCGCGATATCGAGATGAAATTCGAGAAATTTCTCACTTTTTCACACGCGGAAATCAAGCGAGCGACTTCTTCTCAGTATTTTATTCTCTTCCTCTTCTCCTTTTTCGCGCTCTCTCCTCTTTTTCTTTCTTTCTTCCTTTCACCCTTTTTTCTTCATTTATCTTCTCTTCCCCCTTTTTTCCTCCTTATTTCATTATTATCGTCATCTATTTATTTTTTCTCTTCCCCCCCGCTCCCGCTTCCCCTCATCCCCCCTTTTTCTTTCTTCTCATCTTTTCTTTTCTGATCCTCCTCTACGTCTACCTCTTTTTCCCCTTGTACTTCTTATGATCCCTCCTCTTTTTTCCCCCCAATTTCTGATGCGTCCTCATCTAACGTGTGGAGTTCCAAGACTTGAGTCCGCCCGAGAGGCTAACTCCGTCCATTAAAAGTGCTATAATTTGATCATAGTTTGTCATCACGTCAAAAATGATGGGCATTCCGTATCCTAGAACACGGAGATAAAAAAAAAAAAAAAAAAAACTTTGGTTTCAAGGATCGACTTTTGAGGTGACGTAGTAACGGGATGCACCATTGCTTTTATGGCACTTGCTCTGTTTCGTGAGGAATAAACACCCCACATAAACGGCCTCTAATGTCGTGAAATAGGGTGGAAAATTGGAAAGCCTCAGGTGAACAGGCATTGTATTTCACTCATGAAAAAGAGTTCTACACGTGGCGATGGCTCCTACTACCCGGCTTAAACTGTCGCGGGTATTATGAATCATGTATAAGGACGACCCCAGGGTGAGCGGCTGCTCACACTGGTGTTTCGTCATTTCTTTAGCTTTTCTCGGGAAACAAAAATATGAAGCGCCAGAGGTGAACTATGTCATAATGGATCGAAGTTAAGAAAGCGTGACAGAGTCGGCTGGGAAAGGAGGGAAAAGTTTTGTAAAGTTTGGAACAGTTACGAGATGCGATGTCGTGGACAGCAGAAGAATGCCCCTGATGATGTCACTTAGAATCGTTATCTTGCCAGATTGAGTTCCGTTTGATCTCTCTTGACGTTGAGGGCCCACGTCTTCAAACCGTTTTCAAAATAGTAACAAAATGTAATATGTATAGTACCACTGATTTTTTTTTTAATTTTGAAACAATAATGGTGACTTATCCCGGAAACGCGGGTAATACCTAATCTAAAAACACACATCGGAAGATTCTCACGGCGCACAGTAGATCGCGTCAATTAGAGAGGTCGGACATGAAATTTTTGACAAAAACTGCGAATTTTCATGTTTATTTCGTCCCATTTTAAAATTCAAGGGGTGCTAATGAAAGAAAATTTTACGAGGAAATCAATGGAGCCACTTTTAGAACTTCAAAGTTTTGTATAAACGGAGTTGTAACCGTTTAAAATGTCTAAATTTTGTCGGACCTGCCCTATTGACTCGATCTACTGTGCGGCGTGGCAAACCTGCGCACCCTCGACACTCGCACGGGAAGCATCAGAAACTTGGACAATGAATTATCTACGATGAAGCGACCGATGGACCATCATGAAAGTTTCGAAAATAGAGTGGTAGGGTCGGCAGCTGTTACCGGGAAGTTGCACAAGCCAAAATGCTCGAAGCAATTAACGCACTTCAGTTTTGACACACTGTGAACATATGGCAAGGTCTCGCTTAACGTGTAAGTGACATTAGTTGAGAGCACCATTCGGAAATAAACTCAGAGCGTCCAGAAAGACAGGATTGAGGCACGAGTCGAACATATAAAACAACTCAGAGTCTGCACTCGATAATTTTCTACTCCACATTTCACGTGGGAAATGAATGCACGCACCGAAAAATTGTACCGCGTTAATCAGTAAGGAACCAAGTTGCATCAGCTGTTGCCAAATATAACCGGGCAATTTAATTGTTTACATTGAAACAGTTGTAAGGGTTTTTGTGCAAAGGGTATCCCGGGATAAGCATGTCAAAATGCCCTTGTGGACGGATTTTTATTTTAACCATTTTAAGTCATCAAGGGTGTCCTAAAACTTAGGTTTTGGGGAATTTTAGCCCCCCAACCCCCTCCGCCCCCCCTCAGACCCCCAAAAACCGCTTTTTGGGGCTATTTTTGACTATGCTAACGTCTTTTCCTCATAACTTTCGTAATTTTCGTTAGAATTGAACCAAAATTTGTCAGAATCTACATCAATCAGCTTAGTTTTTGTAGAAAAAAATTCATTATCATCGGATAATATTTTAGCTTCTAAAAAAATTCGTAATTTTTTTAAAAAAAATCATTTTTTTCCTTTTTTCGCGCTGGGTGACGTATGGAAACGAGGACACAAACAAAAATTGCCTCTTTTCTTAAGTTATACATCCAATAAGATACAGTAAAAATTTCGTGTTGATCGGAGTGGTGCGCCATACTTAAAAACGCAATTTTCTAACCTCAAAACGGCCAAAATGCCACCGTAGCCTCCTTTGATGACTAGGCGTGGAGAAATATGTAGAGAGAAACATCCGGTTTTATCGTCTCACCTGTTAAGTGATCCACTTAAGTACCCTGAGCCAAAATTTCGAGTTGATCAGAGTGGTGCGCAACACCCAAGCACGCAATTTTCTAACCTCAAAACGGTCAAATTGCCCATTTCGGCACCAATTATCACTCCGTGTCAAAAAATAAGAAGAGTGACATCTCGTTTTATCATCTCACCTCTTAAAAGATCCACTTAAGTAACTTGAGCTAAAATTTCGAGTTGATCAGAGTGGTGCGCAACACCCAAGCACACAATTTTCTAACCTCAAAACGGCCAAATTGCCCATTTCGGCTGAATTCGGAACCCATTATCACTCCGTGTCAAAAAATAAGAAGAGAGACATCCCATATTATTGTCCTACCTCATAAATTAGACACATAAGTACATTTAGTCGAAATTTCGTGTCGATCAGAGTGGTGCGCAACACCCAAGCACACAATTTTCTCCTGTAGAGCAGATCTCAAGTTATTTCAACCGGAAATTTAATGATACTTTGAAATTCGAAAAGAAATCTATCACGGTATAGTTGGTGTGCTCTGCGCGCATCGCAGAGAAAGTTGACAGCCTTCAATTTTTTGTGTATGCAACACGGACCTCCATCGAACACGAATAGTTGCATTCAGGCGTTGTCGTGAGATGATATGCGACTGAGCACCGGTTCAATTTAAAAAAAATGGTTGAATTTTTTAATTTTCCCCAACGCGAACGATTGAATGGGCACTTGACTTGAGAAGAGGACGTTTTCTGCAGGAGACCTTAAAAGGAACCTCAGAATTAATGCAAAATGTTCTCATCAGCGATTTAGCAACGTCTGAGTCGGCTCAATGAAGTATACTATCACCTTCCGGCCAAAGTATCACAAGCGTCATGCGACATTTCAAAATTTCTGCCGTCATTTTATTTTTTTACAGAGAAATTGTTCCACGAAGCTGTCCAAAAATTTCACTGAATTTTCTTTGTGCTGTAAATAAAATTCAGTGAAATTTTCAGGTAGATTCAACCGACAATTTCTCTTTGTAAAAAAAAATAAAATGGCGGCGGAAATTTTGAAAATTCGCATGGTGCTTGTGTTTTTTTGGCCGAAAGGTGACGATACAAGCATTGAGGGCAGTATATGTGATGAATTGGGCGTTGCCTTAAATTTATAGAGAGCATGCTTGAAAAGTCATTATTAGACTGTTAATGTTATTAAACCTTTTAATATCATTGACCTAGAATGACAACATAACTCTGCGTATCAACCTGAGAATCTTTATTATGCGGCTCTACGATGTGTATGCCCTGATTCCCTCTTTCAGTAGCCCAAAGATTTGTATAATTTGTAGAATGGTTGAATTAAAGTTCTTCAGTCTCATTCAAGTTTGTTCTAAATCTGTCATGCGTAATGAAAGATCAGAGAGCGCACATGGAAGAGTATTGCCATGGCGGCGGCCAATTGGTTTAATGAGATCACCCCCTTTCCCTTTCGCGAAGGAATTCAACAGTAAGTCTGCTATACTAAGGAGAAACTCCGTATGAGCATTCAATGTTTACCAAATTTTATCATTAAAAAAATGACTTTCGGAGTTTGTGATGTCTTACCAATTTTTCGAAGGGTTTTCGACAGTGTAAGCTAGGGTATCTGAATATACCATTGGGTAATATCCGTAATTTTTTTTCAGAAATGAAACATATTTGGAGAAATGGTTTGAAGCATACGATCTTAAATTCGAGAACGATGGTTTTTTGCAGTTTAATATTGTGAAGAGGTTACAATTTCCTATGAAATAATAAATCATCTTTTCGCTTCATTTTTTTTTCGGGAGAGGGGAGGGGCAAAAATTTTTTCAAGGACGGCTCAGGAAATTTTCCAGACTTTGAAAAAAAATCTAATCTTGCCAAATGCTTTATCTTTTTTGTTTATACCTGTCACCATAGGATCTTTTCATTTTAAAGTATTAACATCATCCAGCAAAATTCGGATTTTTTTGACCCCACATGATTTTCAGCAATGAAATCCAAGCCATAGCAAATAAAGAGTGTAAAATAATTTTCTTTTCTAATCAATTTGTTTCTTTTTTGTTCTAGAAAGGCATCGAACCGGAAAACAAACGATAAATGGCCAGAAAAGGGTTACTTGCCCCCCAGAATACATTTTTGGATACTATAGCAACTCGTTTCGATGGAACTCGTAAGTTTCTCTTTTCTCTCAATCCACCTCATTTTTTACGTATCTAGATTTTTTACGTATTTTTTTTCGTATTCTCAGAATATGCGTTAAGACTAGTTTTACTTGAAGTAATCAATATATATAATTTTTTTTCAAAAACTACACTTGCACGCCTTGTTTTCCATGCTCATCAATGGGCCTGTTGCAAACTTTTGCTAGAGCAAAAATAAGAGTTGTTTCTTGTAGATAATGCCTCAAAAATCACGATGAGCGCATCGGCAAAATCTGAAATGCACTCATAACTTCACAATCTGCGTAAGAAATTTGCGTTTTTTTCAAGCTTCCCGCTTCAAAAACGATACTACGGCACAGGTGAACATTTTGTTAGAGGAGTCGCTCCATCGTCGGCGATATTCATCATGGCCGACGCTTGCGCGCAGTTCCGCGCGTAATTCGAGGAGAGTTCAAGGTCAACCAATTCGGGCGTGGAAAATATGAACGTTAACACACCGATTGTTATCTGGTCTAATCCAGTTCAGGTGTTATCTCGTCCCTTCAAACGTGTTTTGGCGGATTGGCGTCGGCCATGATGATTATTGCCGACGACGGAACGACTCCTCTTACAAAATGTTCACCTGTGCCGTAGTATCGTTTTTGAAGCGGGAAGCTCAAAAAACCGCAAATTTCTTACGCAGACTGTGAAGTTATGAGTGCATTTCAAACTTTGCCGATGCGCTCATCGTGATTTTTGAGGCATTATCTATAAGAAACAACTCTTATTTTTGCTCTAGCAAAAGTTTGCAACAGGCCCATTGCAGTTGCTACACGAAAGAAACAAATGAATTTTGATTCAGCACTTATCCTGTAAAAGAATGTGCGAAAAGTATCAAATGTTGATTTTACATTTTAAAAAATGCTAATTCAACATGAATTTGTTTCTTAAGCCGTAGACGTAGTTAACCTAGCATTTTTTATTGTTTTAAAATCAGCATTAATACTGGTCGCACTTTTTTTTTCAACATTTAAATGCTAAATCAACATCCAATTTTTTTGTGTATGACCTGATACGAAAGTAATTACCAATTGCATTGTTCTTGCCACAGTCGTTGCGAAAAACCTGAATCTGACAGTTTTCGAACCTGAAATAAGAGCATTCTGGCCAAGGGTGCTCCAATTAAACGAATTGATCAATTAATACCCATTACTCTTAACACTCCTGAGAGTTCGCAGGTGCTCTGCCCCGGTACAGCGGATTTTGCAGCCCTCAGGTTAATCTTTCGTCATTTAAGGAGAATTATGGTTCGAAAAAGAAGAGGCCACGGAAAGAGGAATAACGTAAACAATTAAAAAGTAATTTTTGCCCGCGACTAATTATCTGGAATGGTGAAAGTGATTATGCGAAATACTCAGCGTTGCCAGTCTTTTAAAGCCCTCTGCAATTATGAAGCGCTTTTTACTTTTATCCCATCACCAGACCTTCAGATCAGGTGTGTTGCAGCAGTTAAACTTTGATAAAGTCCATATCAAGAAGACTGAAAAGTCTCCCACGCTTTTAGGAAAGATTAGCTTATAATACTTTCCAATAGATTTAACTTTAATTTTTTTCTGACAAAAAGTACCTTCTTTACATGACGCATGCATGCAGACGTGTTTAAGGTGAATATTTTAATGAACATTTAACAGGAAAGACAAAAATTTCTTACACTTGGAAACAGTGTAATTTATTTAAATTATCCATTCGGTGTTTCGTATACTTTTTGATATTTTCATGTGTATAGCTTCCATTATTTCTTCATACATAGGCTTGTTCTCAATCCTATTTTTTTCTGTAAAATTTTTATACATTCAGTGTAAATATCATTGATGATTTCACGGAAACCATTTGTATATTTTTTTCGAAAGAAACAAAAATTGGATGTCCTTTATCGGGGGAGCATGAAGAGATCACTCATAGGTGTATTTTCTAGACCAAAAGCCTTGCGGGTATTCTCCGATTAAGTATGATCCAGAGAAAATTTGACAACTTTGTATGTTGTTTGCGATGCCCTTCCTGGAAGGAGACAAATTCCAATTCAAGCTTTCAAAAAAAAAAAAAGTCCTGAATCTAGCAGGGGGTCTTTGTTGTTCCGTGGACCTTCCACGGACCCCCGACGGGGTCTGAGGGAGAAAAGTTTCAGAAGCTCTGTTTCATGACACCATTCACGAATACCTGAACTGCCGTGTTAAGGAAGAACGCCATATGAGCCTTCAGACGTTGCCATATTTTCTTCAATAAAAACCCAATTCACTAGGAAAAATGTGGATATTTTCCTTCAATTTTTTCAAACAATTTTGTACACAATTTTATCTAAAACGTCTGAAAATTTCAAAGGAAAAATGCATCCTTTTTTCCAAAAATAACCGTTTTATCCGGGGCAATTTGGCAAATCTTGAATGTTCATACGGTGTTCTTTCTTAGTACGGCAGTGAAGTCTTGAAACTCGGGCAGAGGCACGACATGACATCATCCTTAACAGTGAAATGACGCGACGCAACGGTTGGAAACCATCCACTTTATCCTTCACGGAGCTCATACGTCCATGGCATCCACTCGGCCCGAACAGTGGGCTTGTGACCGCGGATGGGTTAGGCAGCGCTAATTAGAAATGATGACGTCACGAGGACAACGAGCGGGATAGACCCGGGACAACTCTTTAATCAATATTGATTGGCTTCATTTGTTCGATTGGCTGCTCTCCGCGCGAGGTTTGACAATCGTCATCCCCCTGTTGCCCTACCCGATGGCGAAGCGAGTATCATCTGCAGAAATCGATACTCTCCTATTTGATGCTACGGCGATGAATCGATTTTCAAGGTGTTGGTTGGAACGCCCTGATATTCGATCCTTTCTCATAGGTTTAGATGGCAGATCGATTGACTCACCGCAAAGCACGACATGTCGCCCCAATGGTTCTGCTGCGTGTGTCCGCTGAGCTGGGAAAAATACCACGGTAAACATATTGATCGAACGGACAGCTTTACATCACAAGGCAAGAAGGGTGCGTTTTTTTTTATTGAGAAATGAGCCTGACTTAAATGAGATATAACAACAGTAGGCATAAGAACATGCATCCCTAATAAAATGATTCGATTGAGGCGGACTGAGCAGGATGTCAAATTTTTGGCAATATAGATGTTCAACGCACTGCCCTGAAGTGTGAAGCTACTTTTTCGAAATGCTGACCTAACCTCGTTCTTTATGGGGCTGCGTGCTTTCTTATTCGAAAAGGCATTCTATAACCTTCAGGAACTTGTAGTCTAGTATAATTTTACACTTGTACCTTATGTATATCGCTGTATATAACTGTTCACCATGTACCGAATATGACGTGTGCCATAGCCTTGGCCAGAGGCTCAATTGTACAAATTATAAAATAAATAAATAAATAAATAGATATGCAGATGAATCAATTAACATTTTGTGCGTAAAATTGCAAGAACGTTATGATGGGCATGCGAGAAAAGTCTGAAAGTCACTCTCTCTTTCACGGGCGTTTCGGGGACATTGTATCATGCGATATTAAGTTTCTGCATACCTGGACCTTTTTTTTTTCCTCCCCACTTTTGTCAACAACCAGGTTTGCTTAGATAGGAATGTAAGAAAATCTATTCTGATTAAACAAACGGTCTCACAAACAGTTATCAATTTTTCTAAAATGCAATCTTTGTCGCTTTATTTGTCTTTTCTTGGTTTTGAAAAAAGATGCAAAAACATGTTTAAACATAATCGACTTAAGATTGTTGCTGGTTTCCTGTGGTGTAGTGGTTGTAGCGCTGGCCCTATGATTGATTAGTCCTTAGGTTCAATTCCCTGCCAGGTGACCTAAGTTTGGTGGTCTCAGGAAATGGTCACTCGGGGCTGGGGTAATAAGTAAAGGATTGGTCAATGCGTTTTTTGAAACTCTTATTTTTTTCTTTAAAGAAAAAAAAACCTTCCGATGGTGGAGAAATTATGGAAATCGGTCCCATAGATTTTTAGAAAGAATATGGATGAAAAATGATGATTCGAGGAGTCAAGAGAGCTGAGATAATGGTGTACTGAAACTGATTTATAGGTTTCAAGAATATTGAAATAATAAAGTTAGAATATCCGCGGGAGAAATGCCTCTCCGGGTAAGTTTCTCATCAAAAACTATGAGTCAGGTTAGCGAGCTGAGGCTGGCGATTAACTCTTCAGAAAAAGCATGGCTCGTCGATTCATGATTCTTTGCGAAATTCCGACCGTATCTTTTTTCAACGGGCGCCATCCAATTCCCTCCCCCGATTCCCTCCCGAAACCGATTCCCTCCCCCGATTCCCTCCCAAGACCGATTCCCTCATGCGGCCGGAACCGATTTCCGATTCCCTTCCGGCTTTGAAGTAAATTGAAAATATGTGGCAACGTCGCAACAATTGATCAAGAAGTAAGACGAAATAATCAAGATCCAAAATAAACTCACCATTCCCAGATACACCTGATACCGCACTAGGTCGCGTAGAAGAGGAGTAGAAATTCAGATAACGCTCTCTGTACACCCGTTTAAGGTACTTCATAGAAATTCGCCAAATGTTTTCTTGTGATAATTTTATTTTTTTGGTCTTATTTTTTTTAACGCGACGGACTCTGTACACCCGTTTAAGGTACTTCAAACTTCTACAACTTCTACCACCTACTCTTCTACTCTTACGAGAAATGGCGCTGTATCAGATGTATCTGGGAATGGTGAGTTTATTTTGGATCTTGATTATTTCGTCTTACTACTTGATCAATTGTTGCGACGTTGCCACATATTTTCAATTTACTTCAAAGCCGGAAGGGAATCGGAAATCGGTTCCGGCCGCATGAGGGAATCGGTCTTGGGAGGGAATCGGGGGAGGGAATCGGTTTCGGGAGGGAATCGGGGGAGGGAATTGGATGGCGCCCTTTTCAACAGAGCAACCCCATAGACAACGGATCTCGCACATAACAACCCCCGTAACGATTAACGCCGTCAAGGGGAGGA